AACATGTTTGTCCGATTTTAAGAAAATCAAGGACTACTTTGAATGATCACATTTTTGACTTGAAAAACCATAACCGTTTAAGTCCTGGTTTTAATGTGAGACATTCGAATACTTGAATGAACATAAAATTTCTTCTGTTTGAACTTAGCCAGTTGCTCATAAGAGATCAGACATCGTTGTTATTTTTGAATCACATGGAAAACTAACATTTTCAAATTTTAATTCGGTCAGGATAGAGGATCCGCATCAAAACCAGCTAGGACTGATTTGTCTTCCTCATTAACAATTATAATTTATTATTATTATTTTTGTTTATTTATTTACATGCTTTAGCTTTTGTATCCGTGAAACATGTGTCCGTGATGGACACCGGATAATACGGGCACTTTTGCAGTTGTCCTTTTGAATTGTTGTCCGTATTAACCGGGTTCCACTGCAATACAATAATGGCTTCGTCGCTACTAGAAATGCAGCGGCTTTCAGTCGTTACTAGTAATGCAGCTGTACATTACGCTTAACTTAGACTTCTTTCGAAGAAAATTCCATCTCAAAGTGTACTGACAGGACGGTCATATTACTCAACTTACTAGAACTCAGAAAATGGTCCCGTACAGTTAAAATGACGTACTGAAGCACCTGATTTGTGTTTGTCTTTTACAACAGCGAACAAATGGGTGGTAAAGTAACACATTGTCACAGTGGTCAGAATTAGACCGACAACCATGTGCTTCCTCCATTTCTTCTTCCAAACCCGTACCACAGCGATATTTAAATATGACATTTGCAGCCAAAACGAGAACGAATTGAAAATGAAATCAATACTAAGAGCGATGGAAACGCGAATGAAGAAATCTGCAACCGGATGCATGTCGGAAAAGGACAGACCGTGATTGTTGTACATGAAGCTATACAACTGAATAAAGCCAACCGCTGCAACCAAAGCCGTCGATTCTCCGAGAATCATCTGGATGCTCATGTCGGCGATAAAGCGCATGCTTCTTGGAGTGCGAAATTTATCAGCGCTCAACATTGGCTCTGCGTCCGCGTCGCGTTTAAACTTCTTGTAAATAATGTACCACAAATAATCACGCACAACAATAGTTAACCTCTCTAACAAGTCCACAGCGCCGTGTACGAGGCTGAGTATTATAAACAGTTCAATACTTGTGAGCTCAGCTTGCATGACACGGAAAACGATGGCGGACGCGCTATACAAAACGCTTAAAAGCACGTGCGAGTCGCCCGGGTGAAGAAAATCGATTCTCTGCGCCGTCAAACGTACTATGACCTTTGGTACAGCCGTTAAGAGGGGCAGTGCACCAGCTATTACTGCTCTGTAAGTTTCGTTCTGACGACCATACAATGGAATGATGCCATAAACAAGACCAAGGGCGATTGGAATTCCAAAGGCTAATTGGGCTGCGAGTATCGCGGAAACCTTGATCGTCTTCTTGAGTCTCCTGGGTCTTTCATTTTCGCTGCTGTTAGCAATTTCTCTTCCGACAAGTATAGAATTCATTAGGACTATGATTAGAAATAAAGCATTCAAAGGAAAAGACATCCAGGGCCTCTCATATATTCCGTAAACTTGAAGGTAAAGTCTGTAACATGTGTCAAAAAATGCACCCAGTAGATTGAGGATCAACAAATTGAGTTTCTTTACTAAGCGCCAGCCAAACATTGTGATTATAAGAAGAAATGTCCACATTTGCACCACATATGCTTCTACGGTTTCAGCGCTGACAATGATGGCCTGAATCTTACGTGGGAGCGAGTTCCAGTGTCCATGTAACTGTTTATCGTAGCAAAGATCGACGGAATTGAAATCCAAAACCAAAATGAATATAGCAAGCGTACCGAGAGTCAAACCTCCAAGAATTTGAATACAGAAGACATCTTTCACGGCCTTCCAAAGCGACATCCACCATTTTGACGGTCGAGATCTTTTCCAGCCAATTTTGCTATGGTCCCCCGGGGGTGCATCGTACTCCTGAAAAATCGTATCACTGTTGTCGAACCTTTTAAAATCTTCCAAGGGATCCTGGCGCTGTATCAACGGAGCATCTTCAAGCAATCCCTGTCCCTCGTAAGATTGAATCACTCCAGCGGTGAATGTTTCCGTGACATAAACAAATAGGCCCCCTAGAGTAAACGACGCCATGAAAGAATTTTTTTTCTGGCTATGAAGAGTGAACTGCCCACCTCAAATCACGGGGAAATTAATAAGCGATGAAAGCGGAAATGTTAGAGTTAACGATTTTCGCTTTCATTTTCGCTTTCGAGATTCTGTAATCCTATAATATGTAATATCCGGTTTCCTTTTTCGTGACTCACAGTCACGCTCTCACGCTTACTTGTTTGCATTCTTCCCCATGCATTTTCCATTTTCGAGGAAAAGAGAGACTGCTCGGAGTCTGTCATTTTGAATGAGATGCTGTAAATATAGTCCCCCTTCGCAGACGGCCTCTGGGCTTATCATGCAAGCTATCCTCATTCCTCCTTCGGCGTTTGTCTAATCAATTTGAACGTAAATGACTTATATCGTGACAAAGTTCCTGAATGTCCGTCGCGAGGAGTAACGCGATCACGAGTTACACAAGTTTTCGTAGAAAAATTGATTACTTGATCATTTTATACGTTTCGCGAATTTGAATAAAGTACATGCTCAGTCACTCTCGAGCTCACTGAGACAAGTGCTGGATAACCGTGAGTTACAGTCAAGAGAAAATCTTGCTACAATACTGTGTAGGCTTTCTATTTAACCTCTTGATTGGGTTAACAACTCTTCCGACGACCTTCCTGTTGTTGTCAGGTCTTGTCAGTTCTCGGAATTGTTTTCGCGGCTACGTAAGTGAGATCAAAGTAAAGAAATAAGTGACGCAAAGTCTTAAGAGATAATTAACAAACTTTGATTGACATGTTTTGCGGAAAAATCCTAGACGACATATTTTTTTTTTCATTCTTGTTTACTTCTGAAAAATTACAGATGAAGCGTGTAATTTATTCTAATTTATCCCATTAATTTTTTTCCCGAGAATTGACTCGAGTGGAATGCTCACCCATGATCTTCCTGTTTACTTCGTGCTTTTGCCAGTCTCCCTAAAGTTCGCTGCTATACATTTTAGAGATCTTTAGAGGGCGCAAGAAACGTAGTCGCACCAAAAAAACGAAACGGTTTGGCTGAATTCTTTGTGAAAGATGGCGACGACTCCCTTTTCGCTCGAAGGCCTGCTTCTTTACATGACAGAAACGTTCACTGCCGGAGTAATCCAGTCTTATCAGGGACAGGGAGTGCTTGAGAACGCTCCGTTGATACAACGCCAGGATCCTTTGGATGATTTCAAAAAGTTCGATCAGAATGACACGATATTTCAAGAATACGACCCACCTCTGGGAGACGACAGCAAAATGGGTTGGAAAAAATCTCGACCGCCAAAATGGTGGATGTCGCTTTGGAAGGCCGTGAAACACGCATTTTTGATACAGATTTGTGGCGGTGTGTCGCTTGGTTC